GGGGGGGGGGCGTCCTTCGGCAACACTCTCGCCGTCTACTTCTCTGTCCCCCCCCCCCTCTGCGCTATCCCACGCATGCATGCGTGGGGTAACGACGTCCAGTCCCCTCATCCCCACGCTGCCTTCGTTCTGGCGGCTGACATATTATAAGGGAAGTTCCAGTCATCTCCAACAACAACTCTAGTGTTGTAGTTATATGCCTGCCTTACAAGTAGACTTGTTAGTGTAAATTTCCCGATTTTGTTACTAGGTATATTGACCGGCAACGGCAACCGTCATCTCCAAGCAACCGACTTTGAGCTAAATCGGGATTAACACATACCTGAGTTTCCTTGTTTAGCTGCTTTGTATTCAGGAGGCACTTTACAAAAGACATCCTTCTCTCAGTGCTCTTTCAATTTTTTTTTTTTTTTTGCAGTGCAATATGGGAACCAAGCGTGAAAGAAACGCACCGAAAGGGTACCTCAATTCGCCAGGTCTCATAAGTGTTGTTTCAAAATACCCAGTCCTGTGGGATTTTATAAACCACCCAAACTACACAAACTCAGCAGCAAGGGACGCTGCCTGGGAAAAGGTGGCTGAGAGGTTCCTAGATGCCACCCGTAAGTTTCCTTTTCATATGAAAAACATACCTTTAATTTACTGTTTCATGCTCTACTGACATGTCCTACCTTATACTTTTCAACAGCTCAAGAGTGCCAAACCAAATGGCAATCTATCAAGCGTGCCCTCGCTAATAGTAGGAGGCGTCAGAGAATTTACGAGTATTCTGGTGCCCCTGCTGACAGTAAGAGGAAGTGTAGACCGTACAAATATTGTAAGAATTTGTCATTCCTGGACTCCCTAAAACTGGAAGAAGAGGATGTCCAGGATGGCACCATGTCAGGCAGTGAAAATGACACTGGATTATCTGGATCGGATATGGAAGGATCAAGCTTATTAAGTACTGAGACAGAACATACTTTGAGCATCCACGAAGTCTCCACTGCTTTAGATGAAGCAGGTTCATCAGAGGAACTAACGACAGTCATTCCAAACAAAGCCTTCCTTCCATTCAAAAATTTGCAGCAAAATAGCCAGGTAGATGAAGATCTTATATCAATCCAGCTTACTTTTTTTTTTTTAATGATTCCTTGAGTTATTAGATCCATTAATGGTGCTTTTTCTTTCCTGAAGGACTATACACCACAGCAAAATGGCCTTTTCATGGCCTTCAAACTTGAGGTAGGCACAAAAATAAGATTTCAGACTGATATTTGTTATTTTAATTAATTTTTGTTATTCTGATCTCTTTATCTGTTGTAATTGTTTTTGCAGCAAGCACTTAATAAACAGCAAAAACAAGGAAGGCCGAAGAATGGAAAGGTAATCATTCATGAACTGTAGATCTCATACATTTTAATGACCTATATTGAATCAGTTATAACTTGCACCAATTTGCCATGAAGAGCTTCTGAATTATTCTTAAGAATACACAAAAGTAGTTTTGAGTTCTACATCTCTCTTGCTATTATGTCTACAGGTCAACCCACATATTAAGGAAGACCTTAAGACTCCAATTAAAAAGAATAAGACCATTCAGAACTCTAGAGAAGTGGAGGTACAGTATGAAATTGAGCTATGAAATACCCTAGAATACTGAACGTAGCTGTTTAACATATGATAACATGTTATATTTATCATTACTTCAACAGGATTATTTGGATACTACTCAGGAGATGTCAGAGAATGATAAGGAAAATTCACCACTGAAGAGTCCAATTGTCGTCGTAAAACAAAAGAAAAATAAGAAAAAGATCTCCCCAAAAATAGTATTGGTAGAGCAGCCCTCAATAGTCTCTGGTGGAGAATCAGACTCTGAAGAAGAGGTACAGTATGAAATAGAATTATGGAATACACCAGAATATTAGCCTTTTACATAATAATGATGTCAATATTACTTCAACAGGAACCCTCAAATAAGCTCGCCAAAAAGATAAAGGTGTCAAAAGAAAGAGAAAAGCGAAGAGAATTGCAGACACTAAAAATTAAGGAGAAGGTGAAGCTTGCATCAATAAAGAACAACCCAAAAAAAGAAAAAAATCAAGGAATAACAACACCAAAAATCAATGAAGATCAGGAAGACATCACAGATATCTTGATGCAGTTAGCCAAACCTGAAGACCCCCACACACAATTGGGACTCTATCTGGGGGATAGGATAAAAAATCTATCCCCAAAACCCAGAGGCCAGTTCGTGGCAAAAATAATGGTCATGTTAGCTCAGTATGAAGAAGGGGACGTGCCGGACAGGAAAGAAGAAAAGGAAAAGGAGCAGGGATCAGTGAAAGTGAACAAGTGCCTAGCTAGGCCTCATTTCTCAGCTGAAGAAGAGGTATGAGATACATACATTACATGTAAAATTTGTAGACAAGGTTGCCACAAAAATGGAAGAGTCAAAGTCATGACATTTTCTTGACTTTTCTCAGATAATAATTTTTTTATATTTTTCTATTTACTCGGGGCATGTTTTACCCTCCTGACGCAGCGTTTTATTTTCCTCCTCTGTCTTCCACTTGTGGCAACCCTGACATAGTACCTTGACAATACAATTTGTAAACTAAACCATCAAACTGCTTTCGAATTTTTCCAGGCAGCTCTTGTTCAGCTTTTTAATACCCAGGCCAGCAGCACTGCTGTGGCCAGCATAAAAAGTATTCAAGTAACTGTCACTGATTTCCATACTCTTAAGAATGGGGAATGGCTAAATGACATGGTATGACCAATATTTTTCTTTTGGAACAGTGGTATACGAGTTTTCTATATGAAATTTTAAACAAACATGGTTTTGGTTACAGGTGATAAATGCCTACTTTGAATTAATTGCAGCCAAATTTGAATTGGTTTGCAGTTTGAGTAGTTTTTTCTATGAAGACCTACTCAATGAGAATAAGGACTCCATGGGATTGGCAAAAAACGTGAGTAAAATTCTCATTTAGGTTGAAGTTTTATGAAGTGTCTATTTTGTGTCTCTGATAATCACAAATGACAAGAATAATAGTAACTTTTTTGCTCTTCCTTAGGTTCCCCTGTTCTCCTTCAAAAAAATATTGATACCAATATGCAAAAAGAAGAACCATTGGGTACTGACAGTGGTCGATATGGAAAACAAAAATATAAGATATTATGACAGCATGAATGGCCAGGATATTCATTGCCCCAGTGTAAGCCAAATCTATTCTGTCCCTGACAAAAACATTTAAGTCTTCATTACCATAATGTGTTTTTTTCTTCTTTTTGTTCCTTCAGAAAATTTTATCTTATTTGGAGCTGAGGAAAGATGGTGATTTTGAAGACATAGACATTTCTCAGTGGTCCGCCAATCATGTACTGGTACGTATTGTAGTAAAATAGTAATTCGTTGGAAGAGAAAACACGTCATAGTGACTAAATAATGTGTGACTAAAATTTGACGTCATACTGATTTCTTTATGACAAATCTCTGCTGCTTGGGTTGGTCATTGGAAAACATCTTGAAAGTTTTCTAAGAGGCCTATGCACGCTGAATATGTTGTTTATGTTACAGGCGCCACGGCAGATGAATGGTTATGACTGTGGGGTGTTTGTCTGTGCTTACGCAAGGTATGAGGCAGAGGGGGCTGTCATGAACTTCAGCCAGAAGGACATGCCCCATTACAGAAAGATGATTGGTTTGAGCATTTTAAGTGGTGAGCTACATTGATTTTTAATAAGTTCCTAATTGTAATTCTTACATTATTTTAGACCATTGATGATGGATGTTTACAGTCATGAGCTCTTACTCAATTTTGCTTTTCAATTTGCAGGAAATGTTTATTAACTTCTTGTTTTTCTGAGATTATTAATTATCCCCTCATTATGTATGTGGATCACTTGAAATCTGAAAGATACTACTGAGTGTTTCTGAAATTTGCTGTCACCAATTTATTTTGTTAGAGGGAATTGTCAACAATATCATACTCAGTGTGGAATTAAATTACTTGTCTAAACACATTTAATGTGCTTTGTTATGTAACATTGTTTAATCTGTTTTGATGGTGGGTTTTTCTGTTATACTGTACATTTCTTTAATGTACCACTTATTGATCTTGCTTGGGTGTTCTGGAACTATTTAACCACCATGCTATTGTCCCAGTCACTATTAGTGTCATGAAATATTGGAACTTAGAACTAATTGCTTAGTTGCCATGTGAACGTATCCGTACTGTGTTTGTACCTGAATTAGCTTTTATTGCCAATCTTCCCTTTATTTTCTGAATAATTAGAAAAGGGGTATTTCAAATCTATATTAATGCAGATCTTTGATCTGGCAGTTGATCTTTTTCCTGTAAGTTGTTACAAATGAATATGTGATCAAATCACCAAATACTAATCTGATTTTCTCATTTAATTCATTTTAAATGTCGTCTTTGCTTGGCATTGTTAGTGTTAGACTGAGTGTAAAAACATATGAAGACAGTGTTTCCTTTTTTCTTTTTTGCTATGTACCTCATGATAATTAAACCACACCACTCACCAATTTTAATGTAAAGAGTATGTGGTCCAAGCCCCCATCATAGTTTGCTTTTTTACTACTACCTAATTTGATTTTATTGTTTTAAAATTTAACATATCCGTATAATTTTTAACAGTGGAGGACCTTGACTTGCATGTTACAGGCTAAAAAAAACTTTGGAGTATTACTTCTGTACTTTTAAGAATTAATTGCTTCTGAGAATTACAATTTTTAATGCATATCAGATAAAATTATTTTGGAAATGGATTTTAAAAGGTGATGAACTTAGTCATTGTGGATACTGTTTGAAATGATGGTGGGGATAGGTATTTTTTATACTCTATAATCTTCTGCCAATTTCGGTTCATAGATCTTGTATGGTAATACTACAACTAAGAGAGAGTGTATAGAAATCTGCCAAGTTATGGTAAGGAATCTTTAGCAACCTATTTTTTTCTAAATTAAATTTTGTTGTGATTTCATAATTTGTAGCAACTTTAACAATTTCTTGTGAAAACAGAAGTGGTTTAATGGCTACTTTCAAATATTGGAGAGGTGTGTGTGATATGGTATGTTAGAGATTTATTTTTGAAAGTTTGAGTGGCAACTTTATATGGAGGGACCGAGGTTAATGTGTGCTACCTCTTAGCAATTTGTTTGTGTCAAGGTGTACAGTCTTATGTGCATTATTTCGCCTTCTGCATGAGATCAAGAAAGTCAGTTGCTGGCAATTTTTGATTTGTGTCATTACTTAAAGAAACTAAATCTTTCTATATCATCCAAACAACATATTCTATACCAAAGTTAAGCAAAGGATAAATCTGTTATTTCCTTCTTTTACCTTGTAACGCATGCATTGTGATATATATGATTTTAGAGTAATTGGGTGAGACTGACTGATATGTAATTCAGGAGTGTCAGTTTCCTGTAAAGTGAGTGTGATGGCACTTGCCAAAATGAGACTTGCTCATAACATAGGCTCTAACGCACTCAGATGTTGGAATGTGAGATGTAGCGTGGTGCTTTGTAAATATCTTACAAACAAAATTGAAGTTTCTGTTATCCTGGATCTTTATGTGGCTGTGAGGAACAGGAAACTCTATTTTTAATTAAGGAACATTTGTTGTATTTGAAGATAGTTTTATTTTCTGTTGATAAATCTTTTGTCACCTTATAAGAAAATAGTAAGGCTTTCCCTAGATTTGGTCAATGTTGGAGTTTTCACTGCATTATTTTCTTAAAATTTGCTGGTGAATTTATCTCCTTGTAAACTTTATTACAAGCATTAACAAAAGGTTTTGTGCCATATTCTGTGAGAATCTGTTAACAAAATTTCATAATGGATTGGTTTCTTTGCAAAGGAAAACCAGAGATTTACACTAAATATTGACAGTTTTGTCTGTGTCTGACTTGCCATGAGAGTCATGTGATTTTAATGTGATTGTAAGGTAATTGGAGAGCCGAGTGATTGTTTTATCTAAGCAAGTAAACCCAATTGGTAAATGTGTAAGTAAACTGGCTGTGGCAAGATTTCACCTATGTGGATGTAGGTCCAGCTGCAAATCAATCATAAATAGAAAATGCTGCTACCATTGTCATGGGCTTCATGAATAATAATCTTTTTTTTCTGTTCTATATTATTTTTCTTCAAAGTTTTTGAGGACAATAATTGACTGAGTTCTTTTAACTGAGGATTGAACAGAAAGGTTGTGCGTGTTGATGAAGACAATAATGAACGGATTAGCACAGAACTTGATTTAATGTTCACTATGGCCATGCTTAACTGTGTGCTGCTTCTGAAAAATATTACCTATAATTTCTGCTCGCTAAACATTCCTTGTTAAAATGGTTGTTTGTTTTTTTAAAAAAAAAACAACTAGAAACCCCTTGTAGTCATTCCTTAAAGGAATGTGCTTACCTGTATGATTGGGTTCTTGGTTGAGGTCACCAGCTTTTTACTGGAAGGGAAGCTGCCAATAAATGGCCATCTTTGGTAGTTTGCATTTTTCTGCTGAATACCTATATCAGAGTGTTTACCTATGGGATGTCATTTGAATGTCTATTTTGTGTTTTCAATAAAGGATTGGAAAATCAAACATGAAGCTGTTACCTAAATGATCATTTATAACTTTCATACTGGCACCTTTTTTAAAAAACTAAGAGAAACAACAGTAAAACATGATTTGTAGATTTTATTGACGAAGTAGTACTTGAACAGCAGCCTTCTTGTACTGTGACCAACCCTCTTCAGTTTCACCTGGATTAATAGAACAGTGAAAGTATTCGTAGTTGTAGCAAACAATTTTTAATCCAGCTTGACCAACTTCATTTAAAGTTAACATAAATACCGAATTGAATCACAGTTAATTTGTATTGCACAAAGATCACAAAGATCCTAAAACTCATTCCTAAAATAGTGAAAAATGTTACATAAAAAAACTGCTTTCTGATGACTACAAACCATGGCAGCTCTTTTATACTACTTAAAGTGTAACAGTTTACATTAAGATGTCTTTTCAATCTACATGACCTTTCTTCCACTGCCATGGCAGATCATTTTCAATAAAATATTCAAGAAGAACTTCTCTCATGTCCTCTCCCACCATTTCTTCTCCCTCTCCTTTCTTCTGTAGCACTGCTTCTTGCAGCCTGTGCAAGACTTCCTTTTCTAGGGCGGGATTTTCATTTTTCCACCTCCCACAAATTTCACTGCCATCATTCCTCTTGTAGTCAAAGTAGATGTTCGGCATCATTCTTCTCCTCTTAGGTGGTACACTGCCTTCATCCTTCATGTGGAAATTGTGCAATGCACAACAAGCCAACACAGCATACCTTGCTGTGGTCTTGCTGGCTTGGATGGGCTTATGAAGAAGCCCGTATCTTCTGAACATGATGCCGAACACATCTTCAATACACCGTCTACCCCTTGAAAACCTATAATTGAAGAGGCGTTCAGGACCTTTGAGATGGTTACCCTTAAAGGGATTTAGTAGATGGTAACTTCTTTCAAAAGCGCCGTCTCCTGCAATGTAGAACGGTAGGTCCCCTTCAATACCATCAACAGGGCAGGAAGGTGGCATGTGGAGTTTCTTGTTCTGCAACTTCTTGCCAAAGGCGCTAGTTTGGTAAACATTACCGTCACCTCTCCTTCCACAAGCTCCCATGTTGACATACAGCAGCTTATATTTTGGATCACTCACTGCCATTAGGATCATGCTGAATGTCTTCTTATAATTAAAGTAAGTGCTGCCACTGTGGGGAGGTGCCTGTGGACAAGAAAATATAATAATAACTTTGAGAAAATTCACAATGTAATGAAAATCTTATCATAAAACAGGAGAGAAGGTAGAAGGAAAACACAAAATTTATTTTGTGCTACATTCTTTACACAGTTCCTTTTAGCTTTTAGCTGCTATTTACGTATCTACCTTGTAGGAAGGAAGAGTAATTTTGTCACTGCTGTGTAATTTTAAACAGTGATCCAAGTTTTATATCCGGATATATTAATTTTTTAATTATTATAATTTTGAAAACTAGCCGGGTAGTCAGCCGGCTATGCCGCACTTAGCACAAAAACCTTAAAAAAAATTTGTTCATTGAGATCAATATACTTGTTCTTCCTACCAAGGTATGGAAAAAAATGAGTAAAAAATCAATCAGAAGAACTCACCTGGATAAGGATGTGTTTACCATCTATAGCACCTACACAGTGTGGCAAGTTCCACATCACCTCATACCCTGCAGCAGACTCCAGCCACTTGTTTTCTGAGTCTTTCTCAAACACTAGGGGCTCTAGCACCGTCCATATAACAATGCTCGTTTCGAGTACAATTTGAGCAATAACCTGATTTGAGACCAAGAACAAGTAGCTAAGGGATTCGAAGCTGTCCCCTGTAGCTAGGTATCTGCAACAATAACATACCAATTATAAATATATAATAAATATTTCACGAGGTGCCCTCGATAGCGCCTGCGACGCGCTAGGTAGGTCAACCCGCCAGGCAGCTGTGTCAACATGGTGGCCCACCCTTGAGGGGCTCCAAAGTCGTACCTTAAGGTAATGGCCAGTCTTTCTCCAGGTGAAATGGGCTTTCTCCAAGATTTTTTTAGGATGTGTGGGCCAACAAGCTCTAGCAGCTGGTCGAAAGCCTCGTAGGTCATCCTGAAGAAATTGTACCACCTCTCCAGGTCATTTGACTGGCGCATACGTGGTATAGTGGTGAACCACGCACCATGCTTTTCATGATCCTGAAGCATAGGGCGAACCCACCACTTCTTCTTCAGTTTATCGACGTGCCGGTGTAGAGCGGCCACACGCCTCTTTTGTGCGATTAACTGCACAAATGCAGTTTTTCTCTTTTGCAGGGAACCTTAAACAAACACATTTGGTTTAGAGGTGATTTTTTTCAGCAAGTAACAGACGAATAGGGTTCGAACCCGCCTCTACCATTCTATATAAACTAACCACGGAGAAGAGGGCCACGTCGCTTTTTCCGCACAGCAAGCAGGAGAAGGGCAAATCGTTGGGAAATCCCCATCTTATTCCCGAACTCAGCACCTGCAAGAAAAATGAAGGAGCACTGACAAAGGAGACATAAGGTAGGTGTAAATTCCAGATTTTACTCAAACTCGGCATATTTGACTCTTATTCAAGTGTGCTTGGGCACGTAGAATGGAAAGAAGTTTCGAAGTTGGACAAAAAAACGCACATTTTGAAGTCAGAATATCACATAATATATTTTGTGATTCAAAATTATTATTTTTTGAAACCATAGGGAGTTTTGGAATACAAAGCTCAGCATACACTTGTTATTGAAAATAAACGACTTCATGGCATTTTCATCTCACTCCAGTATAGAGATGAGAAAGGTCAGCTGTATTTAATATACCTCAGAGGCAACCTGGTGGGCTGTTTGTTTCAGCTTCTGATCATTTGACATTTTTTCAGGATAAGATATATGTGTCTTCTCAAAAAAATGGAATTGACAGTAGCTAGCTGCAGTAAGATTGTGAAATAGGCTGAGATATGTTTGGTCTTCCCTGCAGGGCTGTGTCTCCTCTGTCTTCCCTCCATCCCTCCGACATACTCCATATAGCCAGCGATACTCCACGATGATAGACTGGGGTATCGTCCCCCGCCCCTATTCTTTTCAACGAGCGCCATGTAAGTGGCACTAGTGCTCAGCCACGCGCTGACAGGAGTATCAACTTTTGGGTCACACAAACAGTTTTACCTTCTGTCTATCCCTTAACAAAAACTTGTTTCTAATTTATGTTAGATAAAATCAAGCATTCTGGTTGACATCTGCTACATACACAATCCCCAACAGAGCAGAGTTCCACAATTGAAGCAATCTTTCAATCGATTAATTCAGGTTTGAGGATTGGTTCACAGGATACAAATGAACTAAATTGATGCATTAGAATTAATTTAATGCTTAAATAAATTATCAAATTCACACATGCACTTGCTTTTCACACTCATAGTGAGGAAAAAAAATACAATGATAGAGAATGTACGCCTGTTGTAATGTAGGACTTATTTGGAACTCATGACCTGCTGCTGTATCTTCCAATCTTGGCATTGTAGGCCTTTTTAGCCTGCTGGGCAGCTGCCCACATGCTTTCGCATTTTTGAGCTGTAAATAGACAGATAGGACATGTGAGTACAGCGTGAGACTGAAGAAATTGAATGTCTGTTTTGCAAGATAAGGAAACTTACGGGTGGCATCCTGGAATTTATCAGCCACATTTTCCCAGGCAGAGTTCTTGGCTAGTGTGTTGAAGTGCATTTTATTGCCGGTATTCCACAGGACAGAGTGTGCACGCACCTCATCTAATAGGGCAGCCATTGTCAGAAATTTCTTTGGAGCTGGCATATTGCACTGAAAGAGAAAAAGCACTGAGAAAAACATATCTTGTAAAGTGCCTCTTGAATACAAAGCAGTTAATACAGGAACATTACTAAAACATGGTGGAGGGTCGTACCTACCAGGGGAGAATGGTAGAGCGGATAAATTAGGGCAGGAGGTTGATGGAGCAAAATCAAAATCTTAGGTAAGGGAGCCCAATTTCCTGACCTCCCTCCTCCTTATGGATATTGCTATGGCCAGCAAAAACTAACGACTGCGAGGTCTTTAAGCAAGGGAATACTGTGCATACTAGTAACAGGGATAACGGCTGATTTATCTGGAAGGTCTGGTGACCTGGGGCCTAGAACAGGCAAGGTTAACAACTAGGAAAACCACCCCTTCTACAATGAAAATTGAAAAAGCCAGCGAAGGTTGGATACATTGGTGTGTATTTCAGACAAAACCTAGGTAACACAGTTGAGCAAGAGGTTATTATTGAGAGCTCGGGCTCGGCGGGCGAATGGGTTCGCCAACAACAGGGACCTCGGTTAAGTAAGATTCCCAATCACAGAGCATACATTTCGGCTTGCGTTTTTCCTTACCTTGCGAGACGTTGAACGGCGAAACTGTCGAAACGGCTTGGTGCTTTTGCTTGCTTTTGCTGATCGAACGTCGATTGTTTCGCGGCGAAACACAGCCTGTGCTGTGATTGGTCGGCATCCATGGCAACGCCATCTCTTGGACGACTGGGCAACTCTCCGCTACTACTTCACGCCGAGAAAAAGTAGTCCGCCGGTTACATGCCTTTATTATGTAGTAAATCATTGGGAAATATATCTAAAATGTTTTCCAAAAATTAAAAAATGTCCACGTCTTTCAATAGCACGCAGCATCTACATCCCCCAAGCGTTGTCGGGCCATGCCGGGTCAATGTGAAGTGCAGTGGAAGCACCCGACATTACTCTCGGCCTGGGAAAAGGACGTTGTTCTCGCCAGAAGCCGTGAAATAGTGTTTCTTTAATCCATTTAACGACAAGGAAACAGTTTTTTAATGTATCCATCAAATAATGTCATCCCCCCCAACGCTGTATTCCCGGAACCACCCCGAGCGATGCCTTTGATGCTTTGATGCCGTTGATGCCGTTGATGCCTACATTGTGGGAGCACCTTCAAATTTGAAATTGAGAGAGAGAGAGCGAAATGACGGGTGCTGGTGTTGTTGCTTGACGCCTCAGTTAAAACCACGAGAGGAGTCCAAAAATTT